ACTTCGAAAACCGATCAATCGCTGTTAGCAGGTAGATTTTCTTTCCTTTATAATCTTCTAAAGGTCCCGCGTAATCTAACTGAACCTCCTGCCCTGGCTGCGATAGCAGTGGCAGTGGTTGTGAAGAATTTTTCGGTAAAATATATTTTGCATTCTTACCATAGCGTGTACATTCTCTACATTCCTCCGCTAGGTTCACGATATCCTTGTGCATGTGGGGCCACCACAAATAATTTGACACGTCAATCATCGCCTCTTGCCCCGGATGTCCTCTATGAATGCGTTTCATAACTGCTTGACGGAGTTGGACTGGTACTACTATCCTATTGTCTACCAGAATGCAGTCATCGATTACTGATAGTTGATTCCACAGCGGATTCGTGTATGGGCCCATAAGTTCAAATCCTGCCCGATCCTTCCTCTCTATTACGCGACGTAATCGGTCCATCCACACATCCTCCCTAATGAGTTCAGCCAACAGCGTTTTCTCGAACAGTTTCGATAAACTGAAGCTCTCAACGTCTCCCATGTCTGCCACTGAGCTCTCCAACTGCGTTTGCCGTTTGTTAATCCTTCTCGAGGGTTGAACTTCGCTAACTTCTAGACCCAGATCGTCGTCCTCCGCTGTTAGATCCACTTCTATGATTGATTTAGTTGGTGAATTTCTTGGGCTGCTCGTGACCATCTGAGTGATCGCCTCTAGCTCTTTGATGTTTCCCGGAATCTCTTGATCTTTGCTGACCAGATCCCAAATGGATAGCAAGTTTTTTTGTTTCTTCCTCGTCTTGGTCCCATATTACTGGTCGTGCAGCACAGCTGTCTTCTTCAGAGCTGTCTGACCCCGCTCTTTCTAGTGTTCCTCTTCTTATCCGACACGTTCGATGGAAGGTAGTTTCGGTTATTTCTGCTTCCGTTAATTTATCGCTCTCCTCCTGTGTCCTACAGTCTGCGATCCTCACTGACTTTTTCTTCATTTTTCCGTCCTCCATTTCTTCTGAGATTAATTTTCTGTTTTTGACTAAATTGACCGACTGAACTCCTCTGTTGAAATTGACAAAAGTGTTCTGCTTCAACACGTTATTAATAGGCGAAAAATTTGAATTGTCACAGTTCTCGTTCCCGTCGAGCTTTGTTCGGTTTTTGACAGTTTTGTTGCTATGGCAACCACGCCTGGATTTTAGCAAATTGGCTTCTCTTTTCTGTTTTTGAGAATATTCTAGAACTTTTTCACTCTGACTTGTTACATCCGTATCATTCAGTCGACTGTATAAACAGTCGAGTGCTCTATGAAAGCACTCAATCGAAGTGACCACATATTTTTCATCCAATTTGGTTTCTGGCCAAGGTTCTCCGGTTGGTTCTCTAGATAGATAATCTACTATCCCCATATCCTTTCCCGGAATATGAACAATTTTGAATTGATAAGGCAGTAATCTGTCCACCCATCTCGTTAATCTTGATTGATATGTTTTGTTAGACCTGTTGCCTTCTAAGGCAGATGTTAATGCCTTATGATCAGTGACAATTACGAATTCTTTTCCTAATAAGTAATGTTTGAACCGATCAACTGCCCACACTATCGCTAACAAATCAAGCTCATTCGTAGAATACTTTTTTTCTTGATTATTCAGGTAGCGCGACGCGAATGAAATTGGAATCCATTCGTTCTTTTCTGTTTGTTGCTCTAAGGATGCCCCTAGTCCACTATGACTTGCATCACACTTGACGCGAGTATCCCTATTCGGGTCATAATAATTCAGTTTAGCAATATTTGCTACCGCTTGTTTGATTTCTTCGAATACCTCAGTATGTTCGGATCCCCAATCAAATTTTTTTACTGGGATTTTAATATTTTTCAATTTTTTCTTTTCATTTTCCTCACGCAATAATGGTCTAAGCTTGTCAGTCAAATTGGCTGCATTTGGTATAAACTTCGAAAGGTGATTAATACTACCTAGGAAGGATCTAAGTTGTTTAAGCGACTTTAGATGCTCTAACTTGAAAATAGCCTCCGTTTTCGTAATTTTCGGGGTAACCCCACTTTCTGAAAGTTTTTGTCCAAGCCAATTTACTTCTGTTTTGAAGAAATCACATTTTGACAGCTTCAGGGATAAGTTTTCCTTATCTAGCTTCATTAGAACGTCGGTAATTAGTTTTTCATGTTCTAGCTCCGATCCCTTTGAGACGATCAGTATGTCATCCAAGAAACAAAACGTATTCTTGGAAATATTTAACGTTCGATCCATTGCTTTTTGAAGTTCGGCTGGCATATCTGCCAACCCATAGAATCCCGTTAAAAATTTATATGTGTCTGTAGCTTTACCCCCTACGATGTTGAAATTACACTGTCTTGCAGTTTGCGGTGTCAACTTCAACTGACTATACGCATATTTCAAATCTAACACAGTGAAAAACAAAGTACCTGCTGTTTGTGCAGTTACTATCTGACTAACACCGTCTAATAGCTCCTCCACATTCGGCATCTGATACTTGTTTTTATATAATTGTCTGTTGATGGGCTTTGAAACCAGAGCCAATTTAATTGAATCATCTTTCTTCACTGTGATTACAATAGGGGCTATGAAACAATCACTGGTACACTTGTCTAGCCTCTGAATATGGCCTTCTAGTAGTAATTTTTCGATTTCTTTCTCGACTTTTCCTTGCACATGAATGGGTATCCTCCACCCCTTTTCTTGAATCGGGCAGAGAGGGTACTTGAACGTTGTATTTACTACATGATGTACTGATCGTCCTTCTCTGTCAAACAGTGGTTTGAAATCCTCGTAGAATTTTTCTTTCCATGGCCCCGACTGTTCGCACAGCATTATGTCAAATCGGGATTTTATCTTCGGGGCGGGTCTTTGTGTAGTGGTTATACCCACTTTATTTTGTAAATCTAGACCTAAAATACACCGTGACCTTCGTTCAGTTATCAGAAACGTGGCATCCGGAACTTCCCAGCCAGCGGACCGTATTTTTGCCTTCACAGCACCCAATATTGTTATTGGTTTTTTATTATAATTCACGAATTGTGCCGGTAAGTTCAATTTTTCGATCGGAGTAAACTGTATTTTCCCTGACGAGTCTAAGATCTGTTTCGCCACTGTCCAATTTATAAATGAAATTGGGCTTCCGGTGTCCACGGTCATATTTGTTATTTGGTTATCAATTCGGATTAGGGCTTTCAGTGATTTCATCCTTCCCGAAATTGGATCTTTCCGCATGTCGATCTTTTTCGTTTCGAGTTTGTTTACTCCATTGCTGTCACTGTTCTCTTTTACTTTCTCTTCGATGTATCGATTGATCATCTCTATCTGACTGTAATTTTGTTCAATTGCCATAACCTCGAATTCTTCGCACGAATCAAATGTTTGAATCAAGTTACATTTTTCTTCAGAACTTTCTGTATTCTCAGTTATTTCACTGACCTGTTGTGAACGACACATTCGAGCAAAATGGTTTAGTTTGTTACAGTTTTTAGATTGTTTTCCCATTGCCGCACAATTTTTCAAATGACCATCTACAAACGGTCTGCCAAACCTATTGCATTGTTTCCTATCATCTGCGTTATATTTACTCGATGTCGCCCTTCCTTCCGGCTGTTTCCGTCTATTTCTTTCACGATAGGGTTTTCTATTATTCTGATTCCTGTTTCCTACCACCAGAATCGGTTCCTGCTTGATTTTAATTTGAGACCCTGGTTGAGTTATTGTTTGAGCAGTACCCAGAGTGGACTTCTGAAACGCCTGTGTCGATTGTTTACTCTACTCGAATTTTATCGCACGTTTTAATACTTCTTCGGGAGGTAATGTTTCGAACGTGAGCGTGTCCTGCAATGCTGGACTTTGCATTTTAGAAATAAAGAGATCTCTGACTAACTCATCTTCTAAAGTGTCAAATGCCGATTTTGCTGCTTGAGCAGTTAGTGCGGCATGAAATGACTCCAACGATTCTCCCATTTCCTGCGATCTATTGAATAACTTGTAACGCTCATACATGATGCTCTGGCTTTTTTCAAATGTCTCCTTTGCTAACCTGGCCATGTCTTTAAATTGCATTTTAGAAATCTCCACATGTGGGTTTTTTTTGAACAAAGCGTTTCTTTCCTTCCGTCCCAAACGCAAGAAATAGTCTGGATACTAGTCTCTTTTGAACTTCATTGTAGTAAATATTGTGGCCCACTTTAGGTCCTCTTTCTCTCCTCTCTTCATTCTCGGCTGCTACTCGGTCTTTTAACAGTGTGTCCCGTGCATCTCTAGCTGCTGTTGCAGCAGCAGATTTGCCCTCTCTGGGTGTTTCTGGACGGGGTTCCGGTTCCTCCAACACTAGTTTAGGATCTTCCAGCATAACTTCTGGGTTGACATTTTCTTTTACAGTTACCGCCATCAGGAACTGATCGAATCATACTTTAAAATCCCAAGGTGGATCAGAGTTCGCTGTGGTCCAGTAAACAGGAATTCTCATGTCAGTTCTATTGTCCTGGGCTAAAAATCCTGCTGACTGCGCCATGTGATATTCCTAAACTGCGTGGCGTGTTGAGGAAATAATGTAATAAAAGATAAGGTTAATTTACTGTTCTTGATCTTGTCTTGTTGAAAAAGTTAGTAGCTGAGATTGGTTACTGTTTTATAGATTGAGATAATAAACACTGACCAATTCATTCATAACGTTTTAGCAACATCAAATGGCCTTGACCACTCTTATATAATAATAGCATAATGGATATAGTTAGCACATATGGTTACTGCAGATGCAGTAGTTAGCAAACTGTCCTCAAGGTTATGTACTGCGGATGCTGCAGTACCACAGCAGCATCCTACTCACATATAGCCTCTGTTCAAATTCGTTACCTGTATGTGAGTAGCTTTGAGCTTAAGTGGAATGGGTTTTCTACCATAAGTTATAGAAATTGAGCTTTTCTAGAACATTCTGTGCTTTTTCTTGTGTACTTTTCTAGAACTTTTCCTAGAATTTTCTAGAACATTCTGGGCAGTTACCTGTAAGTGAACAGGTTGAGTGGCATCCACCCCATACACATGAATGTGCTCATGAATGCGATCACCAGACTGAGAGTGATCTCCCCGTGGGAGAGGAGGGAGAACAAGTTGGAGGTCACCCCAGAAGGACAGCATCCCACCATCACCAAGTACATGCAGTTGGAGGGCGACAGGGAGAACAGTTTGCACAGCAGAAACGCCATCTGGGGAAACAGAAGAACAGTATTATGATTATTTTTTGACAACTTGGGACATCTTTTGACATTTTTTTATCCAACGACAATATTTTTGACAATTTTTTAATTAAAGTACTATATGTTTATCTGAGCAGAAATGCCCTCTTCAATTATATATATTAAAAAATTTTGCAATTCAGATTCTATTCACTTTAAAATTCAGAACATCTACATTAGAACAAACTCTCCTTGCGAGAACGCCGTGGAACTTTGCAGCCATCTGGAGAAATAGCGAAATAAAGAATTAGTCAAAGTTTGGCTCTTTCCTATTATAGCCCCTCCCACAGCAAACTATAGTCCCGCCAACACAATGGAAAACTCACAGGCTGGAGTATTGATAGAAGAATAAATTGTGTATCTTGGGTCTCTTCAACGTAACCCAGAACCCCAACCCCCATAAACTCTGAGAAAAACGTTCATGTTTAACCGCTGAACCGTTGAATTAGTCCTTTGTCCTTTATAGGTGAGGACATTCGTTCTTTCCCAGGTACCATAGGGGGATATAAGGGGTGGGAGCGGTAGTTACTATGGGGAGGGGGGGGGGCGTGGGAATCTCTACTCACGAATGGCTGTAGTATCATGTTTGTGATCTGAGCAGCCCCCACACAGCCTGGCCTCTGCATGAGGGTCTGCAGCTGACCCAGTTTCACCTCACTCCCCATCACTATCACACTCAAGTACACCAGGGCAATCGAACAGTAGTAGAGACCTACGTGTTCAATAGATATCGTTTTTTGGCTGTTTTCAACAAGGTTTGAGCTGTTTATAAGTGGTTATTGGTTGGTGGCTCATTTTCAAGGTTTAAAAAATTGATGTCTTGAAATTTGATGTCTTGAAAAGGTTGATTTTTTTTCAATGTTGCAAAGATTGAATTTAACAAAAAAAACTTGAGATAAATGTTCTTTTTTTGTTATTCCTGAATTTAAGGTCAAATTTAGTTGGTACATTTCTTGACTTTCATTTTTTAAAAGAAAACACTTTGATAAAAATATGGAATTGCGCTGCATTTAACTCGAACAAGCTTTAAAAAAAGTATCATAAAAACTGGAAAAAGAAGGCAGTTTCAGAAAAGAGTTAATGACCTTCGTCGATCCAAGTGACTCGTTTCACCACGGTCACTGTGAAGCCCCCTATGTCCGGCCTCTCCAGGGGCTGAAGGGGGGACTTGTCGTTGCTGTCTGGTTTTGTGAAGGTGAAGGACACTTGGGCAGTGCCTGGAAAAAATATAAGGGGTCAAAGGGTCAAAAGCGATGAAAAAGCCAAATACGGTCAAATATTACATAACTTCAACATGCAAAACAGCCACAAAAGGTCAAATTATGTCTCAAATTTGAATTGAGTCGTCAGGTCAACTAACTCTTTTTGCTTAAACTAAGTTAAAATCATAATAGTAATTTAGTTTTAAACCATTAAACTTCAAATTTAGTACTATAATTTCTGGTTAAGAAGTCCGATTGACCTTGCATGTACAACAGTAAAGAAACTTGTGATTAAAATTGACCTAACTGCTCTGCGGTTAATGTTTTATGCAATCCAAATAGCTATCGAAATTATTATTCAATTAGTCTATAAAATATTTGATACCCAATTCAGGAGTCTGATCATTTGTCGAGATGCATAGTCTGCAGCGTAACTTCTGTGAACAAATCTTTCTGCTAGCGAGGCTATCCAAACTCATAACCTCATATAAAAGTAATTTCTGGATTAAATAAACTTCATATGAAACAACGATGATGTCAGTGGTTTTTTTTCTTACAAATTTTATGATTGGCATAATTTCCGTTTTTCTACTTTTTCAGTATCGAGTTTATGCTGCAGAATATTTCCACTTGTTTTCCCATGTTGCCTTTCTCTTCACATTTTCCAAAAAAAAAGTTGCTTAAGTAATTGTTCCTTAAAAGGTTGCTTTCGTAACGAAAGTGAGCAGGGGCGGATCTAGGATTTTCTCGATAGGGGGTGGATTTTCAAAAAAACCTTTAGGTTGGTTAATTTTTAGGTTGGTCAATTTGATTTTCCGAGCGCTCCCCAAGCACACAAAGACGCTGTTTTGGCGACATTTTCTGCGCCGCAGGAAAAATTTTGAAAAACAGGCCAAAAAAACACGTTTTTTGGCCTGTTTTTGGAAAATTTTGATTTAAAAAATTGAGTTTATTGGGCGTCTGCCCCCCCCCCCTAAATCCGCCCCTGAAAGTAACAGAACTTTTGTACTCGCGTGATATTTTTCTTCAAACAATTTTTGTCTTTTATCCTTGCCATGATTTTTGACGGAATTTTTTTATATCAACCGAAAGGTATCGTTGTCCTGAGCTCAAATTTGAGAAGATATTCTACCTGTGACCAGTTTTTATAAAATTATGGGGGTTTAAAGATTGCCATTTTGGCCAATTTGGGACAATTAACTCGCGATATATTTCGCGCTATTAACGCGTAAGCGAAGATTTAACTCGTCTTAGAAATTGTTGCAAATTGGTTGCAGGAAGCTTATTTGCTTTAATTGTCTGTTACTAGGATCTAAATCTATCGCATTGCACTTTACATGGCGTGTGGGGGTATGATTTAAACAAACTGAGTTAGGACCGAGGTGGTTAACTCATAGAGTAATTTCGGATAGGGTACACCGTCTGCTCGTCACGCTATCTTATTTTCGGCCGGATAGATTCGTGCAACTTCTTAGTCTAATACCGATCCTAATCTTACTCTTATACTATCTAGTCTCAGGTTGTTTAACTAGTCTCTGCTAGGTTCAATAGATCTAGGGTATACTGGTTTATTGCGGCTGCTGAAGTGCTCGGGAGAGTCCAACTAATTTCTAAGTTAAATTCAAATCTCTCTGGTGCTGAAATTACAAGTAACTTCAGCACTTACAAATAAGTGGGTTGTTAGTTAGATGGATCATGATTGGTTAATATTAAATACTTTACATTGGTAAAATATCTAATTTATCCAATCATAAAATGTAGTTTAGATCAGGTTCCACCCATCCGGGTTTTACAGAGTTTTTTAGAATAGTTCTTCTGCAATTCGAAGGATGGATGATGGAAGTTGGTGTTTGGCGAACATCTTATTTCTTCTGTTTCCTTTTTGTTAAAGAAGTTCCAGGAAGCTGGAGTTAGAGACATAAGACGTTGTGTCTTCTAGTGACAACGACTAAGTCTTTGCCACAAACTCAAATCTGATTTCAGAATGGTTGGCTATGTCAGGTTTTTCTGTTCTGCGTGGAGGGGATGCCTGGTTACTCGGATCTGTACGTATACTTGAACATCGAGGTGGTCATTGGTCTAGTTCAATGAAGTCCTTTTCTGCGAAGTCAAGTCGTACTCTAAATCCTTTGAGTTGTGATTGTGAGTGGCATATCGATTGTGGTTGGTCATTCTCTCTCGAGTGTAGTGGGGTCGTTTTGTCTTTATATGTTCGTCCTTGGTGTTGTATTCTGATCTATGTATTGCATAATGTAATTTACATTTTATAAAACATTTATTAGTTTAATATTTTTTAATTATGATTTTAGTTAGTTGTTTTCACAAAAGCTTTTTGTTTTAGTTTGGTTATTTTGAAGAGTTACTCACACTTGAGTAGCTCTTATTAAAAATAGAGGTGTGGTCACAAAGCGTGGATGTAGCGCGGTGGGTTAGGCCGGCTATAGAGCATGCTCAGGACGTCCTTCCTGGTGGGTTAGGCCAGGAGTGGGAGTATGATTTCATGCGGTTTTTATGAGGGGTCCTGTTATGTGACAACGTTTTATGTTGGGTTTGTTGTGGTTTTTCTTATGTCTTGTTGGTTATGTCCTTTTTCCAAAAATCAAATTGTTTGTGGTATGGGTTTGTCTTTCGACTTTTTTGTGTTTTATTATTTCTTTCTTAGACTTTATAATAGTCTTCAAAAGAATAAATTATCCAGTTTTAAACTGGGTTAATCCGGTTTGGGTACCGTTGGTTTCCTTTTCTTAGTCATGCTGTTATTCTATGATTTGTGGTATTTAGTAAGCTGCGTTGGTTAGTTTTGTTTAATATATGATTCCTTTCCAACCGGGTTAAAGGAAAGTTTGAAACATGTTATTATATGTTAGAGTTGTTGAGTGTGAAAACTTGAAACTGAAATTCATTATTTTAAACAATTCTTCGTGGGCGAGCTGTGCGAGTGTGGATAGAATTTCTGTGCGAATGAATGATAATATCAAAAGGTTAGTACTGCATTTGCATTTATTTAATTTACTACATAGAATTTAGAAATTTACTGCTAGTCATGGGGGAATATTAAGATACAAATTTTCATCATAATTAGATTTACTGCTTGTGGGGGAAAATTTTAGAAATGAATTTACTGCATTGGTATTAAATTTATAAATTTATAAGTGTAAGAGATTAATAGAATTTTTGAAATCTGTTTGATGAAATTTGCGATTTTTATTTGTCTTTTGTGGTTTTTGTAGGTGATCGTCGGATGAAGGCTAAAAATCTAAAGAAAACATGAATAAAGTATGGTGAGTTTTTTAATATTTTAATTAGTTAGTAATATTCATTTAATTCATACTTACCTGTTAGTCGTCGGGGAAAAAACCGTGGGGGAAGATGTCGTGAATTAGTTCTGAAGTTGTTAGTAGTTTAGCTAAGATGCGGATGATATTTTTAGTCTGAAGCAGTGGCCAAAGCAATTGAAGTGCCTTAATAGTGGTTAGTTCTTCAGTGCCAACTGCAAACTCATAAGGTGTGTTTTGGATTAAGTTATATAATTTGTGATTGAATTTAGTGTTGTGGATGAATTCTAAAATTGGGATTTCTATAGGTTGTACAAACTCGTGCGGGATAAGGAAGGGTCGGGATTCTTCGGCGTTGAAGGTCTTGGTGATGGGACAGAAGATGTACATTTGGGTTATGGGATCATAATTGCGAAGAATACCATGAAGGTTAGTGTCTTTAATACAATATGTGAAATTTAGGAAAAATGGTGAAGTGTATTTGGAATTAATGAATTGAAAACGATGGTGTGGTTGTCTAGAGGGTGTGTGTAGGTCAAAGTGATTTTGGATGAAACGATAATAACTATATGTGTGGGTTTGTTTAGTGCGCAACATAATATCGTGTGAGCAGTGTAAATCTCTTTCGTGTGGTGCAAGGAAATGAAAGGTTAGTGAAAATATTTGGAAGCGTTCTTTAAAACTTTCGTATGCTTGTGTGTCTGTTAGTGCTTCTGAAATAATGTGATCAAACTTTCGGTCGAAGATGTTTAGTGTGAATGTATATGGTGTCTTGATGAAAAATTTCTCGGTAATTTGTGGATTAGCGAAGCGATCGTCGTCTAAGAATTGATCTTGGTTAGCTCTGATGATGTTGTGATCATAGTATTCGAGTGTATATTCGTTAGCTCTAGGTGCAGTGTGTGTTTTTAGTGATTTTTTATATCCAACGTAAGTAAATTGTCTAGCGGTTAGTGGTGTAGTGAGTCGATATAGCATGTCCGTATTTCGCTCTATATCGATGTGAGTGTTAGATAAAGGTAAGCAAAGAGGGTTAGTAAAATGATAATATGAGGTCCAAGAGAGGGTGGGCATTAAAACGTATTCATCTACAAAGTTGCGTGTTTCGTTAGTGTCGTGGGGGGTATTTAAGGTGTATTGTGGGAATGAGGGTAAAGTGATGGCTAAAAATTCTTTTGTGTTAGTATGCTTGGGGTGGTTGATGTATTCACGGGCTGTTCCTGGTTTTGCTGGGAAAGGATGGTTGGGGAACTTTCTTTTAAAAGTGCGGTAAGCTCTATTAGTGTTGAGTGAAGATTCAGTTGATGTGGATGATGGTGCTAATGATTCAGTATAATTTGAAGAGGGTGTAGGGGTAGGGGGGTTGGATGAATTTGTTGTGGAGGAGATTTGGTTTATGGTTGGGGTATTAAGGTGGTAGGGTTGTTGTTGAAGGGTAATAAAATTATCTAGCTCTGGGGAGATTCGGGGGGTGTCTGGAGAATGAGATGATTGGTCAGAATGGTATGAGGAGTAGGTTGGGGTAACTTGGGAAGCATAAGAGGGTGTGGGAGTGATTGGGTCAGGGTTATTGGATAATATGGGTTGAAAAGGGGGTTGAGAAAAATTAGAAGAGTTATGAAAATTATTGGATGGGGATGGTTCTGAGTCGGCAAATTCATCGGGGGTTTCAATATTCGGGTTATTGAGTTGTGAGATGGAATATAAAACTGAGATGTGTGAATTAGTGTCGGAATTCATGCCTGATGTTACATTACTAGATGGAAAATCGGGTGGCGGAAAAGCAAAAAGTGGTATTTTTGGGATTGGAGAGGTAAGATTGGTTGGGTGGGAATTTGATCGGTGTAGTGATCCAAGTTGGCGGCTCATCGTGGGCTAAAAAAATGATTATTTTGAGACTGAAAAGCGGTGGTATGGGGTTGTTCAATAATTTGTTCATAAGTATTATCATCTTGTGACTGGTGTGTCATTATATGTTGGATGGGACTTTGTGATGTGGTGAGTCGAAAATTTGGATTATGTGTGATGGCTAAATTTCGAAAATTTCGTGGGACTAGGGATAGTGGATGGTTATTTGGTAGGGCTGGTAATTGTGGTGCCGTTGGCGTTATGTCTACATTGTTATGTTCTTCGTCGTATGTATTTTGTCGTGTTGTTATTTTTGTGTTATATTCTTTTATTTGTGCGTCTAAAAGAATTTTGTTTATAGATGTAGAAAAGATTCCAAAAAATCCTGCAAATAGTATGCGTGCTACACTTGCTTGTCTGTTTACTTGTGTGTGTATAGCACATGTGTTGTAGATTCCTTTTAAAAGTGAGAAAAGAAATCCAATAAAGTTAAACATTGCGTATAAAATAGTCAATTTTTCTAAGATGTAGTAGGGCCATCCTAGAAAATCGAGGATCTCATTTTTGAGTGTAACAAAGCTAAAAATGTTAATTGGTGATATATCTTGGGGACGGTATTTTTCACCGTTTAGATATATATAATCTTTAATGTCTTTAAAATATCCGCTATAGTCTTGCGTGTAGATATCGGCAAATCCTGCGGTTTCTGCAAGTTTGCGTAAATTTTGGTCTATTGATTGTCTTTGTATAGTGTCCATTTGTGTTAATAATTCTTGGAATTGTTGTGTTCTAATGTGATGTTGAATATCTGATTTTGAATAGATTCCTATTGATTGTAAGTCTATATTTGGGTTTCGAGCAATAGCGCGAATGCTTTCTGGTGAAAATTTTTTGAGTGATTGCATTAATGTGGGATATGGTGTGAGAAGATAATATTTATTTTCATCAGGGTTTAGTTGTACTACATTGTGGCTGTTTTCTGATCCACATGGGACTGCGGTATCCCAGAAATAGGTTCTTCGTGAAAGTGTATCCACGAAATGTACTTTATTCTTATAAAAGATAGGGATTCTTTTATAACATCGTTTATCTTCAAAAACGTATAGTGGTGATACTTTTTTAGTACAAGTATAAAACCATAAGATGTTTCCTTCATAGTCTAAAAAATTTGATCTATTTCCAGATAATAAGTATCCTGCATAGGGTATTTTTAATACTGCTAGTGCAAGTGATTGTAATATTTGTGTTCGTTCTAATTCGCATAATTGGTGTAGTGTTTCTAATTCGGAGAGTGACATTTCTTGAAAAATTCGGCTAATTGTATAATCTAGTTTCATATCTAAATGAATATCATAGTGGATATTACCGAAATATGTAGTATTCATTAGTGATAATTCTTGTAAGCGTGTGCTTCTGGTGTCCTGAGGTTTTAGATGTCCACCAGGTTGTCCGTTGCTTTTTTGAAAATTAACTGGTATATAGGATGTTCCTTCGTTTAAAGGATGACCTGTGGCATATGGGTCGATTTTTATTTTTCCAGTGGTCATGTCGAATCCTTTTTCGTATTCAACTAATATTTCAGAGTATTGTGTTCTGTGAAGTGGATTCCTGTATTTACATGCAAGTTCTGTTTCTTGATATATTTGAAAACGTGTCAATTTGTTTTCTATATTGTCTATGTTTCTAAAATTAGAACTTAGTTTTCGTGATGGATGGACTTGTTCATATGGAATTGATTGTATAAAATATTTTTCGTGAAATTTTATCATACGAGCGTGTATTTTTGCTACTTGAAATGTTGTACATGTATCTTCGGGGAACCAAACAATTGTTGCTTGTGTTCTCGTTGTAGGGTCGCAATAACCTTGATCATTTTTACAAGGTAATCGGATTCCTTGATAGATCATTGTATTATCTGATAAATCTCGTGTTAGTTGTATTTTTTCGAGTTGTATTTTCCAATCAAAAAACATTATTTCTTGGTATCCTTCATTTTTTGTGTCTGCTTTGCAGTTTGATGGGTCATTTATACCAATGTGTGGTATCCAATGTTTATCGTGTAGGTCATAGGTTAATCGTCCGTGTGCGCCGTTATACGGGTATTTTTCGTCTAGTTTTATATGTCCTTGGTGTCTTTCAAGTTGTGATTGATGTACAGAGTCTGAAAAAACTTGAAAATTAACTAATTTTCTTTGGGAGTTTTTATTTTGTGTGATGTTTAGTCTTAGTAATTCATTTTTACAATCGTCGGGATTGAGATGTAAAAGACGTTCTATATTACTTTGATAGAATGATTCATGGTCAAGTCGGTTTTTGTTTCCATTCGAGACTTGTGAACAATGTACTTTCTTTTCGGAAAATGTTGCTGTGAATTTATAACCTGTAACTGTTGTTGCTCGGGCTTTTGAATAGAGTGTTGCTATTACATCTGTGGTTTCTATAGCTTGTGGTTCTGTTTCACATTGTGATACTTGATTTATTGCATATTTATGTAGTGTTTTTTGTTCATTTTCTTCACAATCGTAATGTGTTACTAATAAATCTTGTGGTCCTGTACGAGGGGAAGGGTTTATGTTTTGATTTGAGATTACTAGAAAAAGGAGTTGGAGAAAAATTAATAATTTTAGAATATACATGTGTATGATAATCCTGAGTATGGATTATAAAATGTAATGTAGCCAATTGTGTTTTTGGTATATCTGTCGTATTTGTATATTACTTCAGTAGTTATAAACGGTGGTGGTAGTGATTGAGCTGTTATATTAGGTGGATTTAATGGGTAGGGATGTTGGGTAATATTATTTAACTTAACTGTGATTTCAAACTTTAATTGTAAACTGTTTTGTTGGAGTATTTGAATATTGTGATCACGGATATCGTTGTGAATATCTTGGCGATATTGTAATCTATTAAGTGCCCAGTTATGAAGGCGGTTACTTTCTTGATGTTGTCCAAATAGTGGTGGAGGTGCTGTGAATGTATTCCAATCTAGTCTTAAAGGAATATTTATTGATGATTGTTCTCGATATCTGGCGTCGAGATTATTTGGAAAGTTTAAGTTAAAGGGTGGTGGTGAAAACTGGCTTATTGATGGTGTTGATGGTAGTGATAATGTTTCTGGTAGTGATGAGGATGTTGTTGTATCCGTAGAAATATCTATGGGGTCATTGATTAAATTTGGTTCACCTTGTGTAAATGAATGTGTAGTCCAATATGGTAGTCGCGATGCCTGGTTTGGGGGGTTAAAGGGATTTTCACGTATTTGCTCAGATGTTGGTGTTGAACCTAAGTAATCTGATGGTAGGCTTGAGGTGCTACGTTGTGAAAGAAGCGTAGGGGTTTCTGGTAATATACCAATGGGGTTTTCTGGAGTGTTTTGTGATGGGGATTGAGGTATATCAAAATGAACTCGGGGAGTTTGAAGATTTCTGTTTCGTCGAGGATGTATAATTTGTCTATTTATTTCGACTGTATTTTGGCTTTGACTAGAATTTCTTATTCTACTTAGTTCTTGTGGTAGTGTTGGGTATAGGTTATATGTTGGTTCGCTTAAAGGTGCTTGTCGTTGGACTGGTTCTAGTGGTTCTGATAAACGAGCATGTCGTTCTTCAAAAGTGTATGGATTGTCTTGAAAAGAAATTCGTGTAGATGTTTGAGGATTTTGAGTAGTTGAAGGTGGTGTTTGGTTATCTTGGGATGATGTCGGTGAAGACTGATGCTGTGACTGTTGGGTAGCAATTTTTGATGGTTTTTTGAATTATTACTTTAGTGAGAAATTTTGTGTTTATTATAATATTCTTCCAAAAAAAGAATTAGAAGGACTGTTGCTAGGGCAAATGTGAGGATTGCTTTCTTTATACATCTAGGATTTTCTCGATAGGGGGTGGATTTTCAAAAAAACCTTTAGGTTGGTTAATTTTTAGGTTGGTCAATTTGATTTTCCGAGCGCTCCCCAAGCACACAAAGACGCTGTTTTGGCGACATTTTCTGCGCCGCAGGAAAAATTTTGAAAAACAGGCCAAAAAAACACGTTTTTTGGCCTGTTTTTGGAAAATTTTGATTTAAAAAATTGAGTTTATTGGGCGTCTGCCCCCCCCCCCCCCCCCTAAATCCGCCCCTGAAAGTAACAGAACTTTTGTACTCGCGTGATATTTTTCTTCAAACAATTTTTGTCTTTTATCCTTGCCATGATTTTTGACGGAATTTTTTTATATCAACCGAAAGGTATCGTTGTCCTGAGCTCAAATTTGAGAAGATATTCTACCTGTGACCAGTTTTTATAAAATTATGGGGGTTTAAAGATTGCCATTTTGGCCAATTTGGGACAATTAACTCGCGATATATTTCGCGCTATTAACGCGTAAGCGAAGATTTAACTCGTCTTAGAAATTGTTGCAAATTGGTTGCAGGAAGCTTATTTGCTTTAATTGTCTGTTACTAGGATCTAAATCTATCGCATTGCACTTTACATGGCGTGTGGGGGTATGATTTAAACAAACTCAAAAACTTCGTATTTTTTTTTATCTTTTTTTCGATTTTTAAAATGAACACTGCTTCATAGACCTTAATAGACAGTCGGAACATTCAGGGCTTTGCCATGATACGAGCAGTATTGTTAGTATTTTCGATCCAGATATCAGTGATGTAATTATGCAACTTACCAATATTCTGAGTCCTGAATCTCACTCGGCTAAACTGCAACATAGTCACATTGGGAATAGCCGCCAGACTGAACTTCTGTGAACCCACCACAGACAACACTTCAAGGTCACTCACGTGAACAGACATGGTTACGTCACAAACCAGTCTGGTGTAGTTTAGACGCACTCTATTAAGTTCACAATTAGGTTTATTTTGTGACTTTCTTTCCAGTTTCAGCAATTTTATTTTTGATTAGTGTATTTTAATTTTTGGAAATTACGCGAAAAGTCTATTTTTGTTCCAAAAACTAAAAGCTGTCTAACAATTTTTGTAAACTTTTGATACAAAGGTCAGTTTTTTATACGATAATTGTCGCAAATTGCTGGTTTGTTTATTCCTCTTTCTAAAATCCTCTTTCTTGTAACGGAAACATTTTAGGAAAGAATTAAACTACAGAAGTTTAAATTAAGAATCACGGAAGCTAAGGAAACTGGAAACGATGCCTGAATTCTGTGTCTTCGGGAAGGGGGGCTAGAAATTGGGGCTGGATTTTGATGAGACCCACATTGCATTGGACGACCAGGGGACAGAATAGCAGAAGGCTGAATAATATCTTGATAAATATCAACACAACCATCGAAGAACAGCACATCTGAAACAGACAATTATAACAGACACTGAAATTTGTTGAGCAATTTTTGTGCTTTTTTCAATTTTACCACATTTGAGAAAGTATTCAAGGGAAAATAACATAGTTTAGCAAAAACGTAAAGAAGCACTTTGACCTTGCTAAAAATTGTTCGACAATTTTTAAAAACTTCTCTAAAAACATTGAAGGACACGAGCTATTCGGACGTTTTGTTACGTTACTAGACACTAAGTAAAAATTTAGCAATTAATTTAGCACACCGTTTTTGGGACAAGTTTCAAACTTTTTCTCCATTTTTTGAGAATTTCATCAATTTGAAAAATTTGAAGTCAAAAACTATTTCACTGACGTTACATCCAGGGTTTCTCCCTTTTACTAGCAGAATTATTGATTCTGTTTTTATGGACATCATTAATTTAATTGCTTTCGTTCAAAACACAGAGTTGTATGTCTACGAATAGTAAGATTTCAACCTAACGCTCTATTTCAAAACTAGGAGTTCAAAAATTAAGTTTTCTAAACGCTGATAGAGTCTACTTTTTGCAAGAAAGTTATCACATGTCTTTTTTTGATGAAATTGGCATGAAAGTTTACTTTGAGCAGTCTAGTCTTCGTTTTCAGCATTGATACCTTGTATAACTTGGTTTCGTGCCAATAATGAGATAGCCGCGACATAATGCTGATCACCAATCATTCCAAATTGAAGATTAGTGGGCAATTTGGATTTTATAATACGTTATTGAACGCTCAGTAAAAGTTTTGCACTTAGAATAATAATTTTGGAACAAAATCGAAAAGAACACTTTTTTTTTCATTTCTTACAAAAATTTCATCACATATATATTTTTTTTAAATGAAAACTATTTCATAGAGGTTAAAAGGCATTAGGAACATCCAGTTTTTTGTCCTCATAAGAGCAGTCTTGTTATTTTTTTTCTACAAAATGATCGATTGCGATTGTTTCAATCAATTGACAAGAAAAATTATGTATGTCTATAACAATAAATTTTTAACTCAATGCTATAGAGCAAATTTAATCACTGAAATTTTAAGTTATTTTCATCAAACTGCGACTTGATTGTTTTTAATTGATTCGATTGAAATGAAAAAAAAAAGATTGTCTGCCAACATTAAGTCACAATACTCACGATCAGTTTTTCATTTAAAAAAAAAGGTTTTTGGGTTTTTTGAATAAAACTTAATTCGGATTTCGTTTATTTTGTAAAGATTAGATTAATTTCAAAATATTTAAAAGTTATCGAGCAAAGTTTCGCTGAAAAAAAAATCGAACAATTTTGTGACGTAAACAATTTTAGTAAAATTAGAGATTCATTAGCTTCAAAAAACTTTCTGTAACAAAAAAGAATAGCCCATATCACATCAATCTGTTCAAAGTCTCAGAAAAAACACAGAAAAAAACACTTCTTTGAAAAACACCGTAAAAATCAGAGTATGAGTATAGTTAAGGTTAATAAAAATTGACTCGAATCGGAAAAATAAAAACAACACTTTAACGAAGTAGATAGTCTGTTCGAAAAACACGTTTGTTGAAAAATTTCAATTCAAAGAAAGCAAAACCAAAGTGAGTAACAATTGGAAATTATTAATTGTTCCGACCATTGAAAATGCAGGTGTGTTTTGGTTTTTTTTGTTTATCACGCAAAATCAGGTGCCATTGATAATCATCGGTCAGGGTTGAGTGATATAAAACATTAGAGCCTTTTTGATCGTTATTCGAATTATTTTTATAAAAATTACAAAAATAATCCCCGTTTTGAGAAAAACCGCTTTAAAATTTTTGACGTTTCGTCTATTTTTGAGAGAAAAGTGATCGAGTAACGTTCGTTATGTATGAAAATTACCAATTTAGGCTAAAAGTTGACCTTTTTTTCCAAAAAAATATGGTTTTGGATGCCTTCTGTAGCGCTTCTCTGGCAAAGAAAAAATCGAAAATTTTTGAAATTTTAGAGCAAAAAATTGGAGAAAAATAGAATTTTTTTTTGGTTTATTTATTTTTTGAAGGCAATTGTAGTTGCTTATGCCTAATTCAATAAATTTCCACGCGTTTGTATAGCTTTATCATCACACGACATTCAAGAAAAGACACTAACTTGCAAAGTAAAACTCTGAGGTTGTGGTCTGAACATTATGTGCTACTGGCATAGCAACCGTCTGTCCTTGCTTAACATATGTACCTATTTAACATGTGTACTGAATCATAACACTAATAAAAGTAGTTTCCAAACAGTTAGGTTTCAATTCACTAGATCTTAAAAAATAAAAAAATTTTAACAAAAACAATTTGAATGATTTTTCATTACGAGGCCAAACTGTGCATTTTGAGAACTGTAAGCGGCTTCCACAAGGACGCTCCTTTTGTTCTGTCTTTTTCTTCCATCATTCCGACAAAATTTTAACATGTTTAAAGACTTGTGTTTGGAATCCAGGAACATACAGACACAATGTTGTGCGCCTATCCAGTGCACAAACTGGCCTCGTAATGTTAGATGAAAAAAAAAATTCCCTCAAAAAATTATATAAACTTTTTAGAATTTTAAAAAGGGGCCATTTCTTGTTTTCAAATGATTCCACTTCTCTTAAAAACTTACGACTTCAAAACTGGATTTGGTAGAACCCAACTTCAATCATTTTGGAAAGATTGCGGAGCCGGATTATAGCGCCGCTTAAACGTTAGTAACACTAAATCTAAGACTCATTTATCCTAAATTGCAATTTTCAGATCCATCTAACTTTAAGAAAAACGATCAAGGTGGTAATTTATATCAATTTTGGACGGAAATTTCTAGCTTCTCAGATTATCTAAGAAACTCCAGTCAAAAATGGTTATTTCGAAATTAAAAAAAAGCTAAACAAAAAATTTGTCTGATGAAAAGAAAACATGATAAAACCCCACCGAGCTCAAATTTCCCGTGACAAAATGGATCATATGGGTGAAATCAACTAACGTTTTCCTTAAAAATCAAATTTATCATATTGGACTGATTTTAAAGAACAAACCTGTATTCTGAATTAAAATCTGAAACAGAAATAATATCTGCAAATGTTACTGGACTATAACAAAATAGGTTTAAATGAAACTATTGATTTCGCTCTTGTGCTTTTCAGATCAGCAGTATGCCGTTGTATGAATTGGTAACAAGTGTCATTTGACAGCAAATGCATCAACTATTTTTTTTAATAAGAATGAATTTCAGTGAAAGTCGTAGCAGCTAAAAACTACTCTGCTATACTTCGAAGATGGCGAACAGCTTGAAACCATTTAGTACATGAGAAATAAAATAAATTATGCGCAGTCGTCCTTTGTGTTTTTTGGCTGAAATTGGATTGCCTGAAAGCTTTTTGAAGAATCTTTGAAGTTATAAATGATCACATAAAAAGTCAGTGAGATCAAGTGGGGACGATAAGTGGAGACGAGAAAAAGCAAGAAAAAGAATTTTTATCAGTCTTATAAGAGGTTTTTTCAATTGAGGTTTTTTTTGCAAATAAGTTTCGGCGATCGAAACAAAAATTTTGGCGGAATTTTTCTGCCGTAAAAATGTTGAATTTTTTTTTGCTTTGTATTAAAACGTTTTTTTAGCTCGCATTCAGTTTTTAGTTGAAACATTGGGTCTTAAATTTTTGATCTATTTTGCAATTTTCCCATTATGGTATCTATTACAAATGTCCGCCCCTCTAAATAAAAGTAGTAAACTTGCATTAGAGTTTACTTTTGAGAATTCTAATACTTTAGAATTCTCAATAGAAAACTCTAGTGCAAATTTACTGCTTTGATTTATAGGGGCGGACATTCTTTAGTAGACACAACAGGTGGGATCGTTAAATAGATCCATATGTAAGACCCTATAGTTTAACTAAAAATGATTGGATTTGAAAACTAATTTCGATACAACGTATCAGTGTTTTTCTTGTGGCAGGAAACGGAAATTCGCCAAAATTTTTGCATGGATCACCGAAACTGATCTAAAAAATAAGCGATCTCACTGGTCAATAATTATTTCCACTAAACAAGCTCCCATATTTCAGTTTTCTTAAGTTTTGTAGTTGAACAATGCTTTTTTGTTTTCTAATTTGTTCCGACTGACTTTTGTTTACCGATATATCGGTATACTGATTTACAACCAAATCATTAGAGATTGATTTCAGGCGACGTACTAGATGCCAATTTTAAAGTCTAGTTCTAAGCAATGCGTGAAGAAGATAACTTTTAAGAAAAACAAAGAAAAAGTTCAAATGAAACATGGGTAGCCGACCAAATTTCATAAGAAGAGAATGTTTTGATGTTTTTTTGTTTTTGCCTTAATTTTTTTTTTCGGAGAAAGGGCATTTAATTGGATTGAAAAATGCACAGATGAAGAATATCATTAGACTTCTTTAATTTTAAAACTGTTTTGAGAATGAATTTGAAGGTTAGCTACGTCTTAGTTATGAGCCATTAGCCTACGCCTTAGTTTCTTGCCGTCACTAGAAGGTTGTCAGGACAAAACCGTCTCAGAAACAATGTCTTATTTTATTGCTTATTAAACTCTTAGGAGTATATTTGTTTTAAAAATAGAGACGTTTTGTGCGTCTTTTAACCAACAAGAAGAAGTTCGTTTATAATGTAGTAGTTTGGATTTAAGTTAGCTTTACAAAAAATTCCCAGTTTTTTTTTGAAATTTATAGTGGCGAAAAATTGAACTGATTATTCAACACTTAACATCCAATTTTCGAGCCTAAAGTATAGCTGGCGAGTTAATCTAATTCTAAATTTGTTTCATTGGAGGCAGTTTTTTGGTCCAAAAAGTTTTAATTAATTTTTTTCTGATAAAATCAAAACATCACAATTTAAAACTAGATTGGACCTTGAAAATTTCTGAAAGTAGACGAGAACACCTTCTGCTTTTGAAAGTTATGATCTTATTATTTTTGAATGGAGTTTTTTAAGTTCAAAGGAATAAAAAGTTATAAAGTTTGAAACTTTATTTTTTAGTCAATTTAGATAATTTTTGATCCAATATTTAAAAAAAAGACAAAAGTTGGTGCTCGGTGTGGCCTTGATTTCTATGCAAAAATGTCGTGTTTTTAGCAAGTCATTTTTGGAGGGAGTTTCTAACTCTTTCTGAAAATTGATAACACCCTGATTTGGAAATGAAAAATTATTTGGATATATTGGGACAATCTAATGAGCTTTTAATTTTTATTTTTATTCGGAGTAAAAATCTCTGCTCATTAATGGTTTTAAACTAAACTAAGGCAACCTAATGGCTTTTGTTTAATTATTACTAGACGCCAAAAAAATTTTGTACCTTATACATTAAAACGCCAAACTGTGCACTGAATATGCGCAAGGTTTGGCGTTTGTAGGTGCGTTTCATGTATAGATAGATACATTGAAACCAATTTTTTTCGTTATTGTTCCGACTTTCGATACGAAAGTAACGGAATATTTGTGCTCGGGGTGGGTTTTTTTTTTCTCCAGACAAATTTCGACTTTTTAACTAGCCATTTTTGACGGAATTTTTTTATATCATTCGAAAGGTATTGTTGTCTTGAGCTCAAATTTGAAAAGATATTTCACCTGTGATCATTTTTCGTAAAGTTATGGGGGTTTAAAGATTGGATTGCCATTTTGGCCAATTTGGGACAATTAACGCGCGATATATTTCGCGCTATTAACGCGTAAGCAGCGGAGAGTTATTCCGTCTTAAAATCGTTCCAAATTGGTTAAAACAAGCTTATTTGCCATAATTGATTGGTTACAAGGAGCTAAATCTATCTATTTGTACTTTAAATGGCGTGTGGGGTGATGATTTTATAAAAAAAAATTCAAATTTAAAAAAAAATTTTTTTAAATTTTATTACATTTAATTTTTTAATGTTATTACTGCTCCATAAAACCTTAAAAGGCAGTCGGAACATTCAGGGCTTCGCCCTGATACGAGCAGTCTTGTTGTAATTGTGTCTTAGATTTTACAAATGAGCAAAAATAGCTTGTTGTTTTTGATTCGATAAACTTAAGCGGATTCCGCAAAGTGCAGTAGATTTCGCCAAATTGTAAATTGTAAGGTCATGATGTGAGTGGATTCCGCAAACTTTAAGCGGACTCCGCCAATGTAGGCGGATCCGGCAAAATTGGAATTAATAATGTAAAGGATTTATTTTTGTTTTTGAATTCCGGAAACTGTTGTAGATTCCGCAAAATATGTTCCGGATTTCGCAAAATTGGCTGCTTTGGGATCAAATCAAAATAGCCGTTTTGTGTATTCCTTTACAAATATGTTTTCAGCCTGTTTTTGAATGCACTTACAATTCACAAAGTACACCATTTGGCCTCGTAATGCATAGCGTTGTAGTAGTCTGAACGGTGTTGAGGTTTTCATACAAAAATCTGAAAAGGCTTCAAAGTTTTTGCCAATCTACTCGATTTGAAAACTGCTAAACTGGCTAGTTCAAAATAATGTAATGCGGCATATTTTTTCAGTGCTTATAACAGATGAACAGCTATTTAATCTTCCCTCAGAACTTGTTCACAAGTAAATTGAAGCATGCTATTTTATCTTACTATTACGTCATCAGGCGCTAAAATCAGGGAAGGATTCATGAGGGGGCGGATGCCCCTCTTTAACAGGGATTCAACACAAAGGCATTTATTGTGCTTAAAAGGGCGCAAGAAATCAATTAGGTCTATCGAAAAGTCTTACATCTGCCCTTGGCTAAAATATTCATATTGTAATTTTCATAGCTTTTGAGGTGAAATTTTTCAAAAAAATAGTAAGAAAAAATCAATTGTTATTTTTTCCGTAAACTTCATTATTTTAAATTAATTTTCTAAAACATTTTATCAAAAAAAAATCTCTTAGATTTTAAGTCGGAATAATCAAGCATTTGCCTTGTTATGAGTAGTTTTGATGAAAATTAATCTCATTTTAACAAATTACTTCTTTTTATTTACAAGGAAGTGAGAACCTGGAAAGAGCCTAACATTCTGCTTACCTTATTAACGCCTCTTTCAATCCAATAATATAAGCTTGGCAGGCTTAAAACTCATTATTCAGCTATAATATAATCTGGTTCAATTTCTCTTGATAAAAGCTTCAAATTTTTTAAATAGAAATATCGATTAGAGCGAAAATTTCTGGCCAAACTTGTTGTCTGGCTAAACTTGTTGTCTGGCTAAACTTGTGGTCTAGCCTTACTTTCTGTGCAAACTTTTTGAAGTTTCAATGTTTGAAAGAAACATAAATTTCAAAACCGGACAGAAACCTTCAACGTAGGGTTTATTTTCAGATTTTTCGTGTTTATTGTAAATTCCAGGAGCCGGAACTTCCTTGGGATTTCTCAAAACACGCTGTTATGATTAATTTCGCTATAAATTTCAACAGAATATAAGTTAGTTAAAACTTTATATTAACGGATCAGTTCGGCAATAAATAACTTGAAGTTTTTTTTCTAGACGGTAATGACGTTCCCAGATTTTTGACACCAAAGTGCGTATGGAGTTATATACTAGTTTAAAAGATTTTCAATAAAGTTGCAATCTACAAGAAATAAATTTGTAATCTATGGTAGGGTATTTGACTGTTTTTTGGGTTAATCCGAAAAGTTCAGGTGATTTGATTGATTGAAATTTACACCAAATAACTAAACTCAGTATAAATGAGAATCGGTTACTCTAAAAGACGTCAATACAGCTCGTGTAACGGATAAATAAAATACAACACCACCTCTGGAGATTCCAGTTTCCTCGCCCGGAGAGTTTATTCTGATAATACATGGGCTGGGTACTTGCAGATTATTTAATGGAACAATGCAAATCGCAGAATTCTTTTTTCTTGAAAAGTTTTCTACAAAAAAATTTTCTGTTCTTCTTCGTAAAATATTAGCGTGTTATTTTTTTTCACAAAAAATTCGGTTAATTGTTATTGTTAGAAAATTGGATTACTTTTTGAAAAAAATTCATTCACTTGTTTTTTTCACTATGAAATATAAAAAAAATTTAAATGTGAAGAAATTGCGTTGCTAAGTTCACTTTAATGTTTTTCTGTTTTGGTTTCCACAACAAAGTTTGCCGGCTGCACTCATGCGGTTGCGTGAACAATAAATTCGCCTTTCTCAACGTTCGGCTAAGTCGCATTAAGACCCAGCATAGTTCATTTTGTCCGGTGGGTTTTTGGCTGAAATTTGGTTGTTCAATTATTGTTTTACTTCAAGCGAATTTAACGCTCTTCTAAGCAATGTCACTCAAACAATGCTATCTAAACTAGTTGAGATATGATTACTACTAACCAAATAAATCTCAAATGTACTAACCAGAAAAGAAGGCTGTTACTTACCAGGAACCCGCAATGTTTGGTCAAAATCTAATTAAAGATAAAATAGTGGATAGTTGTTGGGTTGGAGGGCCACGAAAGCTCGTATTTCTTTAAGCTATCTGTTGGAAATTTTAGGTTCATATACCTCCAATGACCGAGGATAAATCATAAAATTTGACCAATTTTTTTGACACCGCTATTTTTGGGTCAATGGACGACTTTAAACAGTTCAATCCTCTGACAATTTTCATGAGTCCTATAACAATTGAAATTTTAAAAATCAAAATAAATTTGGTGCAACCAAATAGAAAATGATTAGAAAATAGTAATAAATGATTTTTTTATATATATAAAAGAACTCGAATCGGTAAAATGATTCAACTGACACCGCGGTCTAATTGAGTGTCATTAGCTTTTCTAACTGAGAAGAAGAATGCTAATCTAAGGACGAATTTAAAGTGCTTTTGGGATTCGACTTCTCAAAAAATGCGTGGGAATGAAAGCTTAGTCTTATTAACTTTATATTTCATTTTGGCTATTCTTTTTCACTTTCAATGGTTTCTTTTTTTATATATTTTTTCTTTTTTTAGCTCACTTGGGGTCATTTTGTTTGACTTTAATTCATCTGTGGAGAGATATGTTCAAAGTCAATTAAGAGTCTCAAGATTTATAGGCACTTTTAATTGTTTTATTCTTCAAAAAGGTTCATAAATATTCAATTCAATGTTTTCAAACCAAACTGGAAACACGGATGAACAAAAAGTTTTTGATTAATTTCTCAACAGAAAAAAATAAGAAAAATATGAGAAAAAATTCATGGAGTAAAATCTAAGAAACGAGTTTTTTTGTTAAAAAAAACGTTAACAAGGTAAACCTTTTCGCATAAAAGTTGTTATAAGACCATTACTTGCTTTTTTGTTAAAACGTGCACCAATGTATAGCGAATCTTTTCTCTTGAAACAGTATATTTTCTTCTCAAATGATATCAACAAATTTTGTGAACGAATAGTGAAGATTTTCAGAACTATGAGTGATGTTAACATCGCACTGAACTATTTTGCACCAAGTTTATGATAAAACATCAAACGGTAAATCTTATGGAAAACATACTAAGCAAAACTTGGAAGAAAAATGTAGATTATGTACAATAACGCAAGTTTTTTCTTGAGATACTAAAAATTAAATGGTGAAAAAAACAGAAAAAATTATACTTGATTGTAAGTAGCTCATCATATACCGACCAGACTGGTTCGAAAAACAAACTTCAAAATACAGAAACCCATTAAAATATCGGAAAAAACTGCATTTTTACAAAATTTTGTATTCCTTTTTACCTACTAGACATAAAAATTTGCAGATTTTTCAGAAGCACAATTAACAATTTGAAAACCGATGACACGCGATGAGAAATTGATACCTCATCTTGCTTCAACTAATTTAAAAAATTTCAATTTTAATTACCACTCAATATTGCTGTGACAGCACATTTAAGTGGTAAAAATAAAGTTGAAATTTTTTTTAGTAGTTGAATTAGGTTGAGGGATTGATCTCTCATTGCGGGTCATTCGTAGACTTAAAATTGTGTGTCTTCTAACTTGGAGAACGTTTCAAATCTTTTTCTCGAATCCAATTACGTCTCGAGGGATTCAATAATGTGCCAGGGTTGAAGTCCCGCCGTTGATTATCGCTTTTTCTGTAGTATCTCTGTGATCACTATTTTCCACCGCTGATTCATGTATAATTCAGAATTTGTTGCATAGATAAACCTGCGATTTTTCAGAGCTATTTCAGTAATGATTCCGCAGAAAATCATCGCTAAAACTTAAGAAGTTTTAACTCATTTTGGTAGCCTTCAAATGAGAGCTATAGGTGAAAAGCTCTTTAGCTTTAGTTAATACAGGATTGATAGCTAAGAAGCAGCATACAGGTCTGTCAATCTCAAAATTAGGGGATCGAACCAATGTTAGAGCACTAATTTTTCTCATTTTGATAGGTTTTTTATCGCTATTTCATCGCTGAAAATAAGCCAAACTAGCTATATTTATCGATAAAATTTGCTATTGTGGCAATGAACATCGATAATTCATCAATGGTGATCGCTGTTTTTTTTTTCACTTTTTTATCGCTAATTTTCAATGTGAGCTCAACCCCGGTGTTACACTTGAGCTTTCTTTGAAATTTTTTTGAGGTAACTACGGTCTTGATTCGAGGTAGTTAAAATTAGCAGCAAAACGACGCAGACCCCAGGCCATAGTTATTTCTGTTCACTTCGTGAAGTGGTCTCATTGAAAGATACAGCAACACTTTTGCTAGACAAAAAAAACATACCCGCAGGAATTACAACCTATTCAAAACAAAAATTAACTGTATCAATTTTTTTTGCTCAACCGTAAGTAAATTGCAGGACGACACAATGCTGTATAATAAACACAACGCCTATATCAAGTCAAAGCTATATTCGACAGCTCCGACAATTTTTTTTTGTTCGAAAATATTTTTTGATCCTTGTAAACTTCTCGTCTGGCAACAGCGAACTTCAGAGAATGAAGTGCTAATCATTTTGAAGCATATAAACGATAAGCTCAATTCAATTTGGAACAAACACGAGTGCAGGATAAAAACTATTTTTGTTACGCTGGCCAAAAAAAAACACAAGACTGCTCGTATCAGGGCGAAGCCCTGAATGTTCCGACTGCCTTCTAAGCTCTATGAAGTAGTGATAACATGAAAAAATTAAATGTAGAAAAAAGAAGAAAAAATGAAATGAACTTTTTTTAAAATTTGAGATATTTTGTAAAAACCATCACCCCACTGGCCATATAAAGTACAAAATGATAAATTTTGCTCCTAGTATCAAATCAATTATGGTAAATAAGCTTCCTTCCACCAATTTGGAACGATTTTAAGACGGATTAATTCTCCGCTTACGCGTTAATAGAGCAAAATATATCCCGCTTTATTCGTCCCAAATTAGCCAAAATGCCAACCTTTACACCCCCATAACTTTACGAAAAATTATCACAGGTAAAACGCTTTTCAAAAAATGATTGATATAAAAAACTCCGTCAAAAATGGCTGCTTAAGAAGTCGAAATTTGTCTGAAGAAAAAAAACCCACCCGAAAACAAATATTCCGTAACTTTCGTTACGCAAGTTGGAATAATAATTAAACTGGGCTGAAAATTGTTATAAACACGGCCATAATGAAAAATCTCAAGCTTCCAGAACACTACCAAAAAAAAATGTGGATAAAATATTTGACCTCACAAAGTCAATATTTGTTGACGGTTTCAATTGTTTTCTCATAAAATATTGTTTGGTAGCCAAAATAGACCTGAATATAAAAGCACATCAAATTTCATTTTAGATTGCGTTAATTTCAAGAAAAACAGAAAAGTTAGAAATTCATTTTCAAAAAAATTGAAGCCGCGTTTTGTGCTCTATTTGGTTGCAAAGGCCAAACTTCTGAAAGTAATAATCTAAGGAGAGATAGCTGGTTTCTGTGCAATTAGCACAGAAAGATCCGACCGAAACAGATAACTTTATTTGGTTATTGGCTAGTTGTTATGTTTTTTATTCGTTCGACTATGTGCAGATCTGCAATAGAGCTAAAAAACAATAAGTCAATTGAGTACACTTGATTGTAAGAGTAGAATACGCATATATGACAGCAATTTTTAACAAAAAATTCATCGGAAAAAGCAAAAAATAAAAATTTTTTGTAATTTTTTTCAATTTTTTGCAAATTTTTTTTTGGTTTTTTGAGGGTTTTTGCTTGCAGAAAAACGCTACAAAAATTTTCAAAACTATTTTTTTAGAGTAAGACTAAGTTTCTACGCGTCATTTGCACATCAAAAGCGCACTCGCTTACTTTTTGCCTCGAAGTTAGACCAAAAAGCCACAAGCCTAATCGTACCTCATTTTGCGTGGAAAACAAAAATAGACGAAGAAAAGCTAAAACACACCCAAGTACACGGTTCCGCCCCACTTCCAGTAGTCTGAACAATTCTCTTTGTCTTTTTGTCCTTGAACGTTTTTAAAATAGCTCAAATGTTTTCTCAAATATTTTTTCAAAACTGTATGTATAATGCGCTTTGGTTATATTGAAAATCTCTAGTAAAATTTCTCAAGTAATAACTAAAAGAATAGAATAGTGATAATCTTTAGCAAGTTTTAAAAATTTATCAAAGAGATATTTTAAGTAGTTCCGGGAGTCCATATCTGTTAAACGAGACAACGTTGGTTTCACTTTACAAGTTTGAAAAATTAGCGGATTCTGTTTGACAAAATGATATTCAAACGTTTTGAAAAGATAAAGACGAATGAGGTTATTTAGAAGATTAGCAGTCAACAATTTTTTCTGACCAGAGCGAGAATGA